GCCCCAACTTCTTCTGATTCGCTACGCTACTCTGCAACAGTATAGCCAATATTTCCGAAGCATATTGCTTGTTTCCATCGAACTCTCTCACCTTAATCTTCCCCATCAACCATTTGAAAAGCTTGGTCCTTTCGCACACCAATTCTGCCACCGCTGGCTTCACCTCGATCAAATTCTCGATCGTCGCGAGAGTCCCGTACACAGCGGCACTCTCGTCCGGGTCCGAATCGTTCAACCGCTGCAGATTCTGAACCAGCAGCTCGAGGACATTGTTGTCGACTAGGGCATCGACGAGAACCCCAACGGCCTCGTCGTTCTCATCGAAAACCTCGTCGTCGGTGAGTTCCTCGAGCAACTGAACCACGTCGATTGCAATGTCGGTGTTGTCGTGGCCGAGGAGGTTGAGAATGGAAGGGACGGTGTTGAGGGAGACGAGGTCCGGGTAGAGATCCGGAGCTCCGGCGAGGACCTTGAGCTTCTGGAGGTCTTCGTGGAGCTCGACTTCGGAGTCGGCGAACCGGTCGGGTTGGTCCGGGTACTTGAGTCGGGCTCCGATATTGTCCTTGAGACGACGCTCGAAGGAGAGCACTAGCTTCTTTAGGGTTCGGAGGTCGGGTGCTTCGACGGCGTTTTGGGATTTCTCTACTGCCTCCAAGAGGGACAAGTCGATGTCGTTGTTACTGTTACTGCTGCCGTTCGGGACGACGTCGTCTCGTTTGCGTTTCGTGTTGGAGTTTCGACCGTCGACAACTTCCATCACGTTTCCGTCGGATTCGGCGGGTTTCTTCAAAAACCTACTGAGCGCTGCTCTGGTATACTCACTGAATCGGGGTCTTCGAAGTAAATATCCACTGCCTGTTGTACTGTTTCTTCCTAATAAATAATTAAAAAAATATTTATTAATTAAGTTTTAATCAAATCACCCCACTCACGTGAGATGCATATGTCTGTTTCAACATCTATTTAACAGATAATCCCTTATTGGCTAACATATGTATTAAAAAACACTAGCATTGAATTAAATTTTTGTTGTATTCTTCGTATTACTCACGGTTAATTTTGTTATTTTTTTGTCAAGAAACATTACGGTTAATTTTGTTATTTTTTTTGTCAAGAAACATTACGTTACTTGCTTGTTTAAAAAAAAGTTTATAATTTAAGTGATTAAGAGTATTTATCATGCTACTCGAGATTTGAAGTTCAATTCTCACATCTTTGTATATATATATATATATATATATATATATTGTGTTCAATCGGGAGACTTTGGAAAAACACAAAGGAGAGAGAAATTTTGTAAAAGAAGCCAAAATGGACAAAATTAAAAAGCTTTGGTTTTTTCCAAAAGTGAAATTTTTTTTTTTAGCTAAAACCTAAATTTACTAAATAATAATTTTATGAGCGTGTAACTTTTTAGAATATGTTGCCTAGCTCAGATTGGCCCTATTATGTTGGAGTGTGTCGATGGTGGTGGGTGGGTGTTTGCAAGACTGGTGTTTAGTACATCTGCTTAATAAAGATGTGGAAGACCTTCATCTTCTTGTTGTTATGTTGTGGGGATGCCAAGACTATATAGACATAAATTGGGTTTGTTCTATTAATCATGTATATCGTGAGGGCAATATGGTGGCTGATAGATTAGCTTAATTAGGTTCATGTCTTGACTTGGGTCTGTCAACCTTCCATGATCCTTTTGATAGTAATAGGTCTTTTCTTAGTGAAGATTTACTTAGAGTCTGTAGGGCTCGAGCCATTGTTTAGTTTCTCTATTGGGCGTTAGCCCCGTTTCTTCACCAAAAAATAAAGGAACAAAGGGAGGGGGTGTAACTCTTCATATTTTTCTTTTGTTAATTTTTTGAAGTTCTATTTTTTGTTTTTGTAGCTTTTCATTTTTTTTCCTAATCTTTATTTTATGTTTTTTTTAAACTTATTTTTTTAATTTAATTCACACGTCCCTATATCACTAAATTTGTGAAAACCACATGTGTGCCACATCAGCACATTAACATAATTTGTGAATTGTAAAGGTAACTTTGATGTGTGGGCAGAATGTGAAGAACAACATGCCCCTAGAAAACATAATATTTTCACAAACCTTAGAGACTACAAGTCCAAAATAAAAAGGTTTTAGTTTTCTAATGATCTTCATTATTTGAATCACCTACAAACTACAAGTTAAATCATTCCACAAACTACAAGTTGAATTGGTTCCTTCTAATGATCTTCATGTTAGGGAGTCCTTACTTAGTTAGGCTTTTTGGTTACTTACTTATTTGTCTAGTCCTATTATAATTGAGATTTGTTTTCTATTGTAATTTAGATTTATTTTGTATTGGAATTTAGATTTATTTTCTATTTTATTTAGGGTTGTATTTCCTTATAAATGCCTCCATATTGGAGAAGAATACATAATTGAAAATTTGCCATACTTTGTTTGACTTGGAATCAAGGCCAAGTACTTGTGACATGTGCTTGCGTTCTCCTTGCAATTTAAGTGCTCTCCTCCTCTCATCTTGAAAAAGGGAGGGGGGGGGGG